TTGAGGCCCCATCAGTGAGGGTGTTCAAGGATAGGCTAGACATGCACATGGTAGGGATGTCGTGAGCGGAGCCAGCTGGGGCTGGGGGTCAGACTAGATGGCCCGGGAGGCCCCTTCTGACTCGCTCTGTTTCTGTTTCTATGAATTTACATAGCTTTCATTTTTATACAGGTTTTCCCCTAAGTTGTGGATTTTGGACTGAAAGCCTCTGATCTGAAATGACCGATTAATTTAGTTTAAGCAAAACAATATAGCTAAACATTGAAATCTTTTTGTAGCTAACCTCAGGAGTGGAGTGGAGCTCTATTTACAGGATTTCTCTTAAGTCTATCAAGCATGCTTCCTTCCTGAAGCAAAGGTTCAGTTAAGTTGCATGGCTTCACTCTGAAACACTGGGGCAGGTTGCAGCTTGCTGGAAGGCAATTGCCCTTTTCTGTTTCTGGCAGAGGTGAGAAGGCAGACTGGCATCGCTCATCCAGAACAAGGTGCATGCAGGTACACTTCTAAAGGGGTGCCAGGACAAAGGGGAAGACTTTTTTTTCTGTTTAATGCACTTTCTTTTGGGTGTCTTACGAACATCCGGGATGTTGTTGCCAAACAGTATCTTCAAAGAGCGTGACAACGGTGCTTGCAACATGGAGCTGATATTGCAGAGTGGCTAACTGCAGAGGGGAAAACCAAACATACAGCAGAAACAAAGTTTTGGTGTTGTTCAGGAGGAAGCAATATGAAAACTGGGAGAACCCAAAAGGAATTCTTTTAGTATGTCTGTAGAGGAAGAGACAGGAGGAGGAAGCCGGTGGGAGCCACAGAGGCAAAGAACAGCTCTAGTGCCGGATTCAGACATCTCAAGCACATCAGGAGGGAGAGGGCACTAGCCCCCCCCCCCCACACACACACACTGTTGCTCTCATCATGCTTGGAGAGCCTCCTTTTATCCATGGAGGGTCTCCTCACAATCTGGAAAGTGGGGCTCCAGCCTTTGCCCCTGCCAGTCTGATCTACCCCTTCTGGACTAACATGTCAGTAGGACACAGCTGTCCATCTGCTATCATACTTTTCATATCTACCATTGTAATTCTTGGCTCAGAAAACGTCTCACATTTTCCAGATGCATATTTTGAATAAAATATCTTTACATGTGGATTATTTAGATCTATAGATCAAAAATGAAGAACATGGGAGGAAAGAAACTTCTGGGCACATGCAAAAGTGACACAGTGGGGGTCATTCACCTACCTCTACTGTGAAACTGCTTTCCTACCTACATTTAATAGGAGAACGCAAGTGGTACTGAACTCAGTGAGATGTACTTCGGTGAAGATATGCAGGGACCATCCCACCATGGATTGATTTTAGTAAGAGGAATCCATGAGCTTAAGGACTGGCTGGGGCATGCTGGGAATTATAGGCATTTCTTCCTGTCTAAATATACACAGGAATGTGCCCTAACTGTGGCTGGCTCGTGTTCTGGAATTTTCTGCCTGGTGTGTGCTAGTTGTGCAGTATGTTGATGCCACATGGCTGTGGATCTAGGGAGAGCAGCTATGTCTTCTGTTTGTGACATCAATTCAAAGCACAGTCTTTGGCCCCTTGACATTACCTGGAGATGCATTAGAGTCTTTTGAGCCCCAGCACCAAGATCCTGCAAATTTGGAGCTGGGTCTCTGAACACTCAGCATCCTCTGCCTCCCAAGTCTGAATTGGGGCATGGAAGAGAGCCTGAAATTTCTATAGCTGGAAGTGAGGCAGGAAAATGCCAAACCCGCATAATGGGTACAACTTTAAACTGACTTAGGAAGGTATTAATTTGAAAATCTCAGGAAGTACAAACACAGTAGCTACAATATAAGATCAATTTATTTAAAATTTGAGTGATACAATAATCTATCCTTAAAAAAGACCAACCAAACAGGTCTAATGGTTGCTGAACAAACTGATTGTAAACAGCTATAGTAAATCAGGTAGCCCAAGGTTTCTTTTCATTACAGAGAAATCTATATAACAATGGCGTTGTACCAGATTATTATCTGCCTGATATATTTTAAAGCTTTTATGAAAAGTAAAATAAACAAAATTACAATCAGCATTTGTTTAAAATAAACTCAAGGACCTTGAGTAGAAGGGGACTATCCACTGGAATATTACATTCTCTAGTCTAATATACATTACATATACATAACTGACACAGAGGCATAATTGAGGAAAATTAGCATTACTCTAATGACAGATCTAACATAGACCTGAGCATGAAATGTTTCATGTAGTAAGAGCTTTTCACAGTGTAGGCTAAGTTCTGCAAAAAGAAACATTTTATTTTTTAATCTACAGCATACATGACAGGACTCGGCTTCTAATGATTTCTAAATTTATTTTTTAATTTCTACTTTATGCTGTCTTATACCATCCTACCAGGTCTGATATGCTCCAGATGTGTTAGACTTCATCTCCCAGTCAACCAAAACTTCTGGAGAGCACCATGTTGGCAAAGATTGATCCAAAGCAATCCAAGGCATGAAATGGAAAGCCTTAAATCTACTAAGTATTACCTGAGTTTCTGACTATCTTATAGAGAAATCTTTCGGAATTTCATGAAAAAATGAATGCACCACCTGGTAGATAATTCTTTTCAACTGACGGGTTATTATTACATACCGCAAATCAAGTACACACATTTTCACTTGCAAATCCAGGGCTCTGAAATTCTTATGAAATTCAGAGGTCCAGCTATGCTTAGGAAGTTGTTTGAAAATTATGTCCCCCAAAGTCATTTTGTTAGCAAACACAATTAGGATGACACTTTGAAAATAACATCTGGAGAGTAACTGAAAACTTTTCAGATTGTGATGCATTTCTTGTCTGAGTTACTCTTAATCTTCAGCATCACAGGGTGGTGATAGAGAATACTTTCACTGAGCCCCGTGACCCAAGGCAAATATGACTGTAACAGTGCAGGGCCCGCATCTGGCGGTGGTCCAGAAGCACGCTCCCATTCCTTGGCTTGCATGGCATAAATATGCTGGTTTCCGCACAGAGCATGGATCCCAATAAGCGGATCCCAGTTTATGTAGGCCTCACCCACAAGAGTTTAACAGCCCGTTTTAGGAACAGTTACCTTGGTCCTATTCCAAGTGATTCTGGTGGCAAATGCCAGAGTCAGCTAAAGAAAGGGCTGGCAGGCTTGAATGAGCAACGCTCCACCAGCCAATCATATGTTTCGATGGAAGGCAAATATAGTTCAATGATTTACAATTCTTTTTATTTTAAATGAAAGATGGATTAGACTTTTAACGGTGCTGCTATTTAGCAGCAGGAAATTTGATTCCACTACAGAAGAAAAATCTTGGAATGGAGTTAACAGACTCCAATCCTGCAATCATTCTCATTTGTAAATTGGCTAGCCTTATCAATAGAAGTCAGAATCTTTCCATTCTTATAGAAATTGTTAAAAAATACAGGCAAACATTAGTATTTTTTGTATGATTTATACAGATACATTTATGATTACCTTTATTTCTGAATATGTGTCAATAGGGCTCTCAACCAATAAAACCTCATTACGTTAAATGCAATTATTTTTAATTGATGGCTGAATTTGGAATATTGCATTATCTCACTTTATGGGCTATTTTGAGAATATCTGACAGAAGTAAGCAGACAACATATTTAAATCCATTACCTCAGTCAAGATATGCTAGGCAGATGGAAATTACATTTCAGAATGAAACTAGGTTTACTTTTAAAGTATCTTTGAATGAAAGAAAATGATCTGGAATATTAATTCAGAAGTATCTGATGACTAAGACAGTTGAGTACACTTTGCAATTAGAATCTCAACATGCACTTTTGTTCATATGAAGGAAAAAGATGTTGTATCAGAGGTTAAAACATCTCATTGGAAACTTTAGCATACAAAGCAAATTGGGGCTAAGGCTGTTTCCAGGCTGGTCGCCCTTAGTGCTAATAATCATAGCTCTTCTGCTGTAAGCAACCAGCAGAATTGCAACTGACATATAACAGTAGATATTGCATTCTCCCGTATGTTCAACTTCTGTCCTGTTCATATCAGTAGGCATGACGTAACTGTTGCAAGTTGGGAAGGTGCAATTCACCTGAATGCTCATTTGAAGCTGAGCACTATAGCCTTTCTAACTAATGCCATTTTATCATTGTTACTTTTTAAAAGATCTTTTAATTAGCACTAAAATGTTATTTTTAAGAATTAGTGAAGTATCTTTAATGAAATAGTAGGATGATGCCATAATGCTCATTAAAAAAAAACAAAACACTTTCCAGTGATCACCATTAAATAAGTTGCTAAAATAGGACTGACTGAAAAGTCTGCTTTCTCCCATAATCGTCTTTAAAATAGAATTATATTAATGAGATGTATTATTACACTATTTTAAGAGTGTTTCACCAATGTTTCCAAATTCATCCAAGAAATGTTTTACAGCTAATTAAAATAATGATCAAAAATACTGATGGGAAGATAAAATGACACCTATGACAAAAGTAAATTTCTGTTGAGCTGGGAGAGGTTCACCTATGACATGCAGCTCTTAAAACACTACCCTTTTAAAAAGACAGACTTTATGAGGATCTACATTCTCCTCTTCTGAACAATTTCAACTTTGTGCATTCGGAAAAAAGATGGAAGAATGACAGGGAAATTACAGCAAGACAAATTTGTGGATGCTCTGCAAAAAGTGAACAAAGCAATGACAGTTCTACATTTACTGCCTAAAGTGGAAGCATTCTAAGATGCTTCCTTGAAACAACAAGGAAAAATACTTTGGAGAAAGTCTTTGATAGCTGGCAAGAAATGCAGAGGTAAGGAAAATACCAATTTTAAAAGGTATTATATTGTTTTACTTCTTATCATGCTAATAACTCTCCAGAGTATGTTATATTTCAGTTCATTTCATTTAAATATAAAAAGACAAAGGTCACTCTCAACCCTTATATGATTATTACAGACAGTGTTCAAATTTCAGACACTATATATGCGGGAGGCAATTTTCAGAACCTTTCTCTGCCTGAAGTCCCTGTACAGTGTTATCCAGTAAATCCATCGTATCTCGAAGTGTGACATTGAGTGTAAATGGCTTTGGTTTTATACTCAAGCCATAGGTAAAATCCATTTTGGAATCCTCTTTTGGGTTAGCGGTGAAATTGCACTGGTGCACCAAGATGGCAATAAAAAGGAAGAGCTGCACTTTGGATAGCTCTTCCCCAATACACCTACGTTTTCCCACAGAAAAAATCATCACACTGCTAGTGAGGTCTTTGTTAAGCAATCCATTCTCATCCAGGAACCTTCCTGGATTGAAATCTTCTGGGGCAGGCCACTTCACTGGGTCGTGATTCACTGACCATTGATTGACAAACACCACTGTATCTTTGGGGATGTGATAGCCCATTAAGGTGGTGTCCACGGTGGTGGCGTGCGGAATGGTAACCGGTACGAAGCTGCTAAAGCGCATGGATTCATATAGGAAAGCCATGACATAAGGCAAATGGGGCTGGTCCTCAGCACACGGCAAACGGTCTCTGCCAACCACCTTGTCTATTTCTTCTTGCAGCTTAGACTGCACCTCGGGGTACCTGGTTAAAAAAAAAAATAACAAGAGCAGCTATTTTGGGATTCACAATTCTTCTAGGGGTAAGCGATGTCCTTGAAGATCATGACTGTGGGGGTACCATATATGGGGGTGGTGAAGGGCGGGGAATTGGCAAGCAGGAGACAACTATGTCCCTCCCATGCTTGTAATTTTCCCATACAAACAGACCGGCACCCTAAGGTGGGTTTTGTAGCAGCTGAGCTTCCTTCCAGATTTGGAACCCAGATGGAGAAAAACAATTAAAAATGGCCTCAGTCAAAGTATGTTATAGGGGCAAGAATCAGCAGGCAAAGGAACGTTTATGTACCTCCAACCCATCCAACAACTTTATTTATTTATAACTTTTATATGCTGTCCCTTATCCATGGCACATTTGTTTATAAACATAACAAAGAATTTGGGACCCCAGATTTTCCTTGTAATGTGCACTTCTTGCACAAGCATAAAGAAAGACTGGACCTATGACTTGGCAATGGGAACCAAAGCAGTTGTGCAAAGATGGGTTGGGTCATCCAAACCCAGGACAGCATCTGTTAGAGTCCTTTGGCAAGAACAGTCAAAACCCAGTATTGTTTCTTCCAATTTTGCCAGTGCTACCTTCTGTCTCTCTCCTCAGCAACTGCCCCTCCACTGATGCCAAGCGCACAGTCTAGAAAGACTATTAGTGACAACCTTAAAAAACCTTTAAAATTAATTTCTAAAAATGTATTATTTATATAATCAGAGCAGGGAAGGGGCCAGGATGAGGCAACAAGTGGGGTTCTGCCACACAGGTACCTGGGACATGTGCCAGAGCCAGCTGGAGGACTTGGGGGAAGAAAAAGCCATGGCAAATCCACTTATCTGTCAGGCATAACATGGGTTGTTCCACAACAAACCCACCATTGGTTATTTGCACAATAGCTTAGCATGACATGCAAACCTGTGTCTGACAGCTAATAGCAGCAGTTCTACCTCCATGCAAACAAAGGTGAAAAAACAATTTTAAGTCCTGTATTAAGATTTTAATCATAAATGTTAATTTTCCTCTTATATTGATGGCTTTCAGTATCTGGCAGGGGGAGTGGGCAGGGTAAATACTGCTTTAGCAGCACCTAGAATCATAGAATCATGGAACAGTAGTAAGGGACCATGAAGGCCATTGGGTCCAACCCGCTGCTGTTGCAGGACACCAATTTACGATTTACCTAGAAACAAGAGATTTGTTGTGACTGAGGCTATGATGGTTAACAATATGAATGAGTCCACAAATAATAGAGAATAATTTTTATCCCCTTAATTAACCCAGTTTGGTCCATTTTGATATAGAATTTCCCACAGTAGTTTTAAATCTTTTTTGCCAAAATTTGAATAAATTTTATACTCCATAATTAATAATGATATTGGGCCATAAGATACATCCTGTGTTTCTTATTTATCTTTGTTTATTAGAGGGACAATCCTGGCCTCATTCCAGGTTTCAGAATTGGGACAACATGCACTAAGTTATTGATCTAATCATCTGGAGTCAAGCCATATACAAATTGCTTATTGCATTTTGATAGATGACTATAAGGTGGGAACAAGTGTTTAATTGCACCTCTATTCTTTGCATTTGTTTCTTAGATTATTTCTGAATGGAATACAGGCAGTCCCTGGGTTATGAATAAGTTCTGTTCCAGAGAACGTCTTTAAGTCAAACGTGTATCTAAGTTGGGTCATGTATAAAAAACACTTAAGAAACACTTTCATATACAGTCAGCCCTCCACATTCCAAGTGGTTAGGTGTGCAGGACCCTTGTGTAAGTGGAAAAATAATCAATATCTCTAGGTCCCCCCACAATAGTGCTGACCAACATGTGCTGGATTGCTTCTTCCTCTGTCTCTCAGATCCAACAGGGCTCCTTTTCTTCATCTTCTGTTGCTATTTCCACCCTCACTTTCATTTACCAGCACCTTCTCTTTGCACTACAGAAATGCTGGAGGGATTTCACTCTTCGGAGAGGCAGGGCAAGAAGGCATGATTCGAAGGGCCCTACTCCCTTTATGCTTCCTCTCCCTATGGTGATGGCTTTTTTCTGCAGCAGGGTGCAAAACTTAACGTTCCCCCCTTAATTGTTGATGGCAAATTTTCATGAGCTTAACAGACTAGTTCCTGCATTCATTACTATGAACCATTTGTCTTTAACGCGAAATTTTAAATTAATAGGCTTTATAGCAGTTTGTTCTTGAGTATGGATGTTTGTAACCTGGACTGCCTGTAGTCCATTCTCTTCAGATATTTGGAGGACTTATACGCCATCTAAATAAGTCTGTATATCATCATCTTTTGGTGTCTGTTTTGCATTCCAGAAACAAGGAGCTAATAACCAAGTCAGTTCAATTTAATGCTTTTACAATGATGGCCAAGTAAGCTCCTGGTCTAAAAATAATGGACTCATTTGTACTTGGAAGTCTACTTAATGCATTACACATTTTGGTTTCAGAACAGGAGCCAATCCCCCCCCCCCGCCCTTCAGTCATAGAGATTGTTCTGGACAGCTAGATCTAATGATTTCTTTAAATTATGAGTCCTTGGCTTGGATCCAGACTTTACCTCCCACAAACGAAAAAGCTCCTTCTGTTTGAGGAATGTTTGAGGGGGACCTAGTGGGGAAATGGGGAAGGCAGCGATTTTCCCGGTTGTGTTGCCACTTCTAAGCACTTGAGACGGCGCTGGCCAGGCCATCAAGGCCTTACCTGATGAGAAAGATCAAGAGCCACTGCAGGGCGGTTGAGAGGGTGTCCTGGCTAGCCCCGAAGATGTCCGTGACGGTGGCCGGCACGTGCTCCACCGGCAGGCCAGGTTGCGCCTGCTGGAGGCGGATGAAGGCGTCCATGAGGTCGCGGACGGTGTCACCGGGCCGCAGGCTGCTCTGGTGCCACTCGAACTTTTGGCGCACGAAGCTGTAGAACTCGTGGTTGAGGGCCCGGAAGGCGCGGAACGCGGAGCGCACCGGGTTGGGGAAGCACTGCAGCCAGGGCAGCACGTCGACCAGGCTGCCCGCGCCCACCGTGCGCCCGAACTGCTCGTTCCGACCCACCAGGCGCCGGAACTCGGCGTCGGCATGACTGTAGCGGCGGCCGAAGCACAGCGCGCTCATGACGTTGGCCACCGCCACCACCAGGCTCCTCGACGGGTCGACGAAGGCGCCGCCTGCGCAGGCGCCCGCAAGGAGCCACACCACCGTGCGTGCCTCGGCCAGCAGGGGCTCCTCCAGGAGGCGGCGCGCCGAAAACGCGCGCATGGTTGAGTGCGCCAGGCGCCGCTGCAGCTTCCATAGCTCCGAGTAGCCGCCGAAGGCCAAGCTGCGCCCGCCGGAGACCAGCTGGAAGGACGGGAACCGAGGGCGGCCCGCAAAAGCTGCTCCCTGGCGGATGAGGGCCTCGCGGATGGCTCGCTCGCCGCTCAGCACCACCACGGGCCAGCTGCCCAGGCGCAGCTGGAAGACGTTGCCGTACGTGGCCGCCAGGCGCCCAAAGGCCAGGTGAGGGGCACTACCTAGTTGAGCCGCGTTACCGAGCAGAGGCCATGGGAAGGGACCCGGCGGCTCCAGCCTCCTCCGTCGCAGCCGTTTGTGCGCCAAAAGCTTCGCCACGTGGATGGCGACCAGCAGCGAGAGAAGCAGCAGCAATAACCCTTGCAGCGGGGGCACGCCGGCCGGGAGCACGTCCTTCAGTCCAGGGGAGCGCGCGCTGCCGGGAAAAGGAGGCTACTTTAGAAGCGTTGCCACGGCTTCACCTAGCATGGCAACGCGGGCGGGCGTTGAAAATGTGTGGGCCCGCGGGCGCCGGTTGAAAATTGTGCCCTCGTAAAAATTAAAACGGAAGGGTTACCGAAAAGCACCTGCACGCGCGTTGTCTGTGTGCAGTGCCTTTTCCGTGGGGAGGCACTCAAGATAGTGCTCTGCATCCTTCAGCCTGACGCCCTGCGGATGTACAAGACCCCCAGGTGGAGATGCTGGAAGTCGTAGCGGAGCGCAAGAGCAGGGCGCCAGGTTGTGAGGAGGCTGGTCCACAGAAGACTTGCGTCCCCGATTCTGTATAAACTAGCCTTCCGAGCCAATAATAACAACGTGAGTTGAGTATCAGTGAATTTATTTTAAATCCGTGGAGGGAGGGGGCATTAAACACGGGTGTTGGTGTGGGAGACCGATTTTAAAACATCGATTTCCCATATAGTGATTCATGCATTCCCGAACAATAGCAGCAACTGAAACAAACAAAATGCATTTATGCAATCTAAGATCATAGTTCAGAATCTCAGACTGGCATCTTGCTGCTTGTTAGGCTAAACTGTTATGTCTAGAGCAAGGAGGGAAGTTATTACCTATGAAACTAGTGGAGTTTTCTTTGTCTCCAATGGCAAGCTTAATCCACTTGTTTGAAAACAAGGGCTACAGTCCAGTACACAGCTGGGTGGGGTTTTGGACTTAGACTGCAATCTTGGGCCGAGTTTCTTGGAAGTAAGCTCTGTTGATCACAGAATAAATAAGCTTGGGCTTATAAGTGTCTAAAACTTTCCAGAAGCAAGATTTACCATTATCAAGGAAAAACTGTTTTTGCATGAGCTGGACAGCTGCAAAAATAGTCAAGTAGTTGGATCCAAAATGAGTCATACTTAAGAGTAGACCCACTGAAATTAATTAGAAGTATGTAATTGAATTATTTCCTCACTTATTACAAAACCTGGATCCAAGCCATAATTTCTTGCAATAATAAATCTATGGCACATCTTATCAGTCTTACAATATTCTTCATAAGCCAAATATTTTACCCATGTTTGTTTTGTTTATCAAGAAAATATAGGCTAAAATTCAATATGTGGATCATAGGCTGTGTATTAGTTTATATTCTTTATATTAAATACAAACTTCATTTTGAATAATGCTTTTTTTAAGTGTTAGCACATATATGTGTCTACTCTTACAGGTTTACTTTTGATTCACTCAGATTACACACTTAGGGTGTAATCTATGCCTGTTTAAAGAAAGTAAATTGTACAGCTCCCAGAATTCACTAATCAGCCATGCTGAGAATTATAAGATATTTTTGGTCCAGTTGTATCCTTAGAAGATACTACTGAAAGCAGTAGAATTTCAGCATAAACATGTTCACAACTGACTTCTTCAATAGCTGGAATAACCGGTCCTTTAAAACCAGTCTTTTAAGCATTTTAAAATCATCAGTTTTAATCCATGCTACCTTGAATTTAATATTTGGCCCTTACTTTTGACAGACATCCCATGAGTATCAAATTAGCACTTCTCTACCCTAAAGAGCTTCATGATGGGCAGAAAATTCAGCAGCTAAAAGTTTTGTCCATTACCATATTGCATGCCAGAAAAGGCTGGACCTATAGAATTTTGTTTGTCATGTAGCCTTGCCAGGAAAAAAAATGGTATGAATCCTAGATGAAAACTTACATTTGGAAATGTTATGTGAGAATGTCATGTTTCTGCAAATCTATGAACCACACTAGATAGCAATCTACAGTACGTAGGAAAGCCTGCAGTTCCCAGATAACATCTCCATGTGTAGGCATTCATTACATCACCTCAGAAGCAGGCCCTTTGGCACAAAATTTAGGTCAGGATTGGATTAGAACATAACAATGAATTGCTTATGTATCCATATATTACAAGGACCGGCTTCTCATCCCAAACCACCAAATGCTTGTCCAAATGAAAAGGGATTTCAGTTCTTCAGAATGAGATGCAGATTTGGTCTTTGTTCTGTAGGGAAATTCAGCGGCCAAACTGAAAGAGCCACCATTTCCATGTTCAAACTTGCCACAAAGACATGCTGCTCTTTGAAGAATAGATCATACCCAGCAGTAAATGCAGTTAATTTCACAGGTTTAAGTTACCCCAAGGAAACTGGATTGTATTCCTATGGAAAAGCCTAGTTTAAAGCTCTGCAAGCAGAGATGGTGTTAGGCAACAACCCACTAGGACCAGAGCCCTGCCTCTTTAATTTGGGGCCCCAGATCTCTTCAGCAGCATCTGCCCCACCATCCTGCTGCCTATGGACACTTGCTGAAATAAAAGTATCCTGTTGTTGCATTGGATTCCCTTGGATTAACTGGACTTTTGCCCACATCCTCCTGCTTCTCTCCATACCTTAAATGTTCCTGACATTTTCTTTTCCTCTGAAATCAGATGTTCTCCTATCCCCTTTCCATATATTGCATACAAACAGGGGTGTCCTTAGAAGGCAGGGTCTTTAAATACACACACAGAGAAAGACCTTAGAACAGATGTAAATTAGCATGTGCGAGTTTGAGCATTTTTTGTCTTGTGAGCCTGAGCACTAGAGCTTATCATTATCTTGTAGCACCTAGTCTGTTACTATCCCTAGACACCCAATCTCCCTATCCGTCATAATCTCAACTCAATATTTTAGATACCTCATTTCCCACAGATATATTATGTGCCAAGTGGTTTATAGAAAATTAAATTACAACTCTCTGCATCTGGGCAATAATATGATCTCCCCTAAGTTCTTCCTCTCTGTACAAAGTGTTTTACAATTTCTATTTTGTATTTCCCAATGACATAGTGTAGTAGGTTACAGTGGCAGATTGCAACTTGTCCAAGACCACCCAAGGACAGCAATTTAAACCAGAATCCGAATGCAGCATTCTGTCATCTGGTGCTCACTGACTCACTCTGTTCCAACAAAGGAGACTGCAGGGGAAATAAGGTCAATGAAATAATCAGAAAAACTTCACCTCTTTTCTACCAGATAGCCAGATTGTTGGAAAGGTTGAGGGACAGGGTGCTACACATTTATTTCAGACTTGACCTAACATCCTGTGGTGTTTATTTAGCTGCTCTTCTACCCACAAGTGGAGAACCATGCAATTAAAATGCATGATAAACCTTGACATGTGCAATCCAATGGTAGCCTTGTGTAGTATGGAAGTCCACTGATTCAACTAGGACTTATTTCCAAGGAAGAGTGAGAGAGATTATACTCTCACTTGAAAGTGGAACTTAATTCCTTGTAACTATGCTTCAGGTTACATATTTATGCTGAGCACATTTGAAGTGACCCAGCTAAAGCTAGTTGTCACATGCATTCTCTTCTGACGGGTGCTTACTAGGTTCTGTAGGGTATATTCTCAGGTAAGTGGGAATTCACTGCTATCCAGGTCTCATCCCATGGTGTTACCCCAAGTTTTAGCACTAGAGTGGGAACTAGTCTTCTTGTGTAGTGGTTAGAGTTCTGACCAGAAACAGAAGATCCAGGTGCTAGACCTCACTTGCTCAAGCTCATTGGGTGGCTTTGGGCCATTCACAGACCTTCAGCCTACCCTACACCACAGGGTTGTTGTACAGGTAAAATGAAGGAGGAGGAAGATCATGTAAGCTGCCCTGGGTTCCTTGCAGGAGGAAAAAGCAGAATGTAAGTGTAATGTAATAAATGTAAATACCTTGATAGAAGGTGGGTGGAGAGAAAATTACCTTAATTCACATTAGTTGTTTCCAGAAGGGTGTCTTGTTAAATCTGCAGCAAAAGCAACGAATTTTCTTGCAGTACCATATTTCAAGACGGACTCATTCATTTTGGCCAAGGCTTTGGGTGAACGTTTATTCCAAAATAAACTCGTTCATCTTTAAGGTGCCACAAGAGTCTTCATTGTTTAGGCCCTAGCGAGGCACAACCTCGAAGGAAGGAAGGAAGGAAGGAAGGAAGGAAGGAAGGAAGGAAGGAGGAAGGAAGGGGAAAGGAAAGGAAAGGAAAGGAAAGGAAAGGAAAGGAAAGGAAAGTTTCTGAGCGTGAGCGCATGACTGACCTGTTCATCAAAGAAGGCTCCTCTGGATCTCTCCAGCCCATCGTGCCTCCAGCCAAGGCTGAGTGCGCCAGCTGGTCCTTTGCACCTCCTGGATTTGGAGAGGGAGCGCGGGTGAGGACCGGCGGGCTCCACAGCAGCACTTGGCCTCTCCGAGGCGGGCAGATGGCAGCCGCGGCACCCGAGATGAGCTGCCCAGCTCTCGCCCAGCTCGGCTTGGAGGGGTTCGCTTGCAGCGCTGGTGAGGGATCTGGCAGGGCGCGCGGCAGCGCTCCGGTGGATGCGCCCTTCAGCGACTGATCGTCGGCGAGGGGAGTGGGCAGGGCAGCTCGCTCGCTTTCGGGCTGCACTGGGCAGCTCCGCTCTCCTCTTGCCTGGCAGAAGCGGCGCCTCGGCGCTGCGGCTCTGCAGCCGCTCCCGCCTCCTCCAGAGGGACCTGCTGCTCGTTGCCAGCCTCCTCGTCGGTTGGCGGCGGCCGCAAATCTCACACGCCCCAGGGGGGAAAGCGGAGCTTCGAAGCGTCCAGCCTCAGTGGCTGCTGCGGAGAGATCGAGGTCGGGAACACGCCTTTCCTTCTCCCTGGAGGCTGCCAAAAGTTTTGCTCGCCGCCTCCGAGTGTCACCTCCCCGTTGCGTGCGGAGTTCGCATTGCGTGATCTGCTGGTGGAAAACCCTCTGGCCATCCCCTCCCCTTGCCTCCCCTTCCCCGCATTAGAAGCTGCTGACACGCGCGCGTGCGAGATCCAAAGGGGAAGGTGGCAGAAAGGAAGGAAGGAAGGTTGCAACGAGGGAAGTTAGCTGGAGAGGAGCGTCAGACTGGCTGGCAGCGTCAGACCCTTCCCAGAACTAGCCTCCATCTCCTCACCCGGCACTCCCGCGCAGCCCCAGGGTAGTAAGGGCACCACCGACCGACCGACCGACCGACCGACCGACCGACCGACCGACCGACTCTCTCTCTCTCTCTCTCTCTCTCTCTCTCTCTCTCTCTCTCTCTCTCTCTCTCTCTCTCAGGGGCGTGTGCGAGAACTCGTTTACACAAGGCAGACGGGCGCTGGGACGAAGGAATCGTGGCTTTTTGGAGCGAAAAGTGCAGCGCACCCAGCTCCCTCTGGATGTGTCGATCGCGGTTCTCATCATTCCAAGTCTGTGTGGCTACTGGGAAGGCTGCTGGTGCCAAATGCTTAGTTATGGTTAGAAGCAACCCTTTCCAAGCTTTCAGACATGAGTCTGGAGACCAGGAGAGCAAGTTCAAGAAAAGGTCTCTTGCCACAAGCTGCCTAGCTTGTGGGATCCCTGATCTTTCTATGGTATATTAATGAGTTATTGTTATTAATATGAGAGTTAAGTCAAAATGTAATCCCTGAAAGATGAGTGACTTTGAAGACAAGACTGCGACAGTATTAATTCCATATGAGCTTTAGAGCTTTGAATCTGGTCCAAGCCTATGCAGGACAAGATCACCTTCATCCAGACCACACTATCCCACATGAAACGAGCAAGCACAAGTGAAGTCCATTACAGAGACCTGTCCTCAGATTCCTTTAGCAGGCGAGTCAGCCTATAGGGAAAGACAATCTTACTTGGGCAAAAACAGATCTCCTAGCCCTGCATGTGATCAGTTATGTTGGAGTAGACAACTGGGGCCTCCCAGAATGGTTTTGGATGACAACTCCCAGCAGCCCCAGCAGCATGGCCAATGGTCAGAAAAAATAGGAGTTATAGTCCATAGCATATCGATGGTAACAGATCAGCTGTCCCTAACAAAACAAAACCTCACATTCACTTCCAGATGGAGGGCATTGTGCAGCTCTTCCAGTTATTTTTCTCCTTAGAAGAGAAAGAAGTGGTGGGGTTACAAAGGAGGATTATGAGTGGAAGACAACTTGGATGCCACTGCTACTACTCAGTAAAATACTGTGCATGAGGCAAGGTGATAAAAGTTCCATCTATAAAAACTCCAATTCCCTCCTCAAAAAAGTATTTCATGGGAATGCTCTTAATATGGAGCAAAACAATGGTTGCCTATAGGCAAAGGTGTCAGACTAGGATGTATTTTCTCTTCTGTTTAATCGGTATGCAGAACATATCATAAAGAAAGTTAGATTAGGGTCAGAGGAAGGACTGAAAATTAGTGGAGAATACATCAATAATTTAAGATACAGGTTAAGCCATATTACTGGCAGAAGCCCCAATGAAGTGAAACGACTCCTGATGAAAGTACAAGAAGAAAGTGCAAAAGAAGGGCAACAGCTGAAAATTGTGAAAACAGAAATATGACTAGAGAAGAATTATGCAACATTAGTGTCAACATTGAAGAAATTGAAGTTGTGAAAGATTTTGCATAGTCATCCATTCAAAACTGCAGCCAAGAATTTAGAACATGATTGAAACTTGGAAGGGCAACAATGATAGAACTGAAAAGCATCATCAGGCATAAGGATGTTTCACTGGAGACCCATGCCAAGATTATCCATACTATTGTATTCCTGATCACTATGTATGGCTGTGAAAACTGAGGAGTGAAGTAAGCTGACAGAAAGAAAATTAATACATTCAAAACATGATGCTGGAGGGTTTATGAATACTCTTGCACTGACAGAAAGATGAAATAGTGGGTCCTAGATCAAATCAAGCTAGAACTTTTCCTGGAAGCAAAACGTGATGAAACTGAAGCTTTTGTACTTCAAGCACATCATGAGAAGAAGACTGACTGAAGAAGACAATAATGCTAGGGAAGGTTCAAGGCAGAAGAGAAGGGGACGACTAACTATGAGGTAGATCAACTCCCAAAGGAAGACGCAATCCTTGAGTTTACAAGAGCAAGCAGAGCTGTCAAGGACAGGACATTCTGGAGGGTGTGCATTCCTGGGTTCAGGATAAGTCAGCACTTAACAACACCACACATGCTGTAAAATATGTATGACAGACCTCAGCCTCAGACGTGGCGATCCATACAATCTCATTCAAAGCTGGGGACTGAATTCCATAACATCCTAATTTAATATTCCCCAACAGGCAGCATGATTGGCTGGGAAATGCTGGGAGTAATCCAACACATCTGGTGGGCACCAGATTGGGGAAGGCTGTCCTAGTTCATTATGTGCCTTATCTGATGGTTTAAAAAAGCTATCAGAAGCTGAATCAACTGCAATAGTTTCTGAACTAACAGAGCCCAGGTCTACAGCATAGAAACGTGTTAAAAGTGAGATTTGTCTGTGTCACTAAAATGTGCTATTAATCTTTGAGTATCCAGTTAGAGCAAAATGTTACATGATAGTAAAAGGCATTTCATAACCTACCACCAACTTGGCATAAACTAATGAAGCACCCCAGGACTGCATTTCGCTGCTTGCAGGCACAGATTAGTAATGGGATTTTTAAAAGCAATTTTCCTAACTGTGCTAGGAAAGGTTTCCATGCTTTCTTTGTAAGTTAAGTAGCTTTGTCTCTGCAGAAGGGACAAGTGACTGAAATGTTAAAAAATGTACCTTTAATATCTAGAACAGTAGGAAAAGACTACTTGGCTCACACACCTTACTTGAAGATGCCATAACTAAGAAGGTAAGAAGAGCCATGCAGGGTCCGATCAGACATCCATGCAGTGGCCAAACAGCTGCCCACAAGAACTGAAGGACAGACCACAGTTTCCCCCAGATGTGCCCATACATGGGTTTAGGAAGGAGGCAGCTGTGTGACCCTGGAAGACAAGACTACACCAGTGCCTGTTTACATTCCTGTAAAATGTGATAAAAAGGGAAGTTGTTTTTTCCTTAGGGTTCCACTTTGCCTACTTTGTGCATGGAGACCCTTTTTCTGAAGAATAAAGCTTTTTCCACCTCACACCCTGGAGTGCTGGACTGGCTATTGTGCACACCAGGACTGAATCCCACTTTTGTGGCCAACAGAACCACCTTTCCATGTTCTCCAGAAACTGGTGTATACAGGCATACTGCCCTGATGGTGGAAGTGACATATAGCTATCAGGACCAGGGGCCACTGATGATTGTGACTTTGCAGATAATGTGTCCATGGTGATTTTGGATGCCCCCTGATAAAGTGATTGTATCGCTGCAAACTGCTCAGAGAATTCCAGCTATGGGGCAATGCAGAAATGAAAGCAAGCAAGGGAGCTATGGATGGTGACTGGAGAGTGTTTCTGACTGGACTAAAAAGAAGAGCCTTCCTGCTTCTGCACCACCACCATTTTGTTAAATGTCATGATTTGTTTATATTCCTTTTTTGAAGTGGAGGCACAAGAGCATGGGAGTTCTCAGAAGAAGCAAACAGCAGCAGGGCACACGTGAACAGGAATATCACTGACCAACTTAAAAAAAATAACTATTTGAAAGCTGTGTGCTACTCTTTGATATATTGGAAGTGCGCATTGTCTGATTTTTCCTATAGCAGAAAAGGGGTACAGTCATCCTCGCTGAAGCAAGGCTATGTCAGACAGAATAGTGTGTTATTGGCATTAGACCAGTGCTATCACAAGTACAGCACTAAAATAACTTTGTAGAGGTGGGTAACTTTGGTCTGGAAAGACCCGCAATAATAGATGGCATTCAGGACATAGAAGGTCCATTTCCATTCACATGCCTGTGAAAGAGACCTGTGTTCACAGTGCAGAGCTGTTAGTCTTTCCTTTTAAACCTTTTGTTCCTATGTTTATACACTCTATCATAAAAATGTACCTCAGGCAACATTTCATTTTGATTTACAAAACTATGGAGAGGGGCAGAGATTTATGGGATTAGAAAGAGGAAGTTTATCCAATTCATAAAGTTCTTTTCATCTGTGTTCTGTGGACTATTCAATTACTATTCAGCTGTAAAATGCTTCCATCCTTGTTATATTTGGTCTTTTACAGCCCTTTGAAGAATTTTGAAGACATTCTGCTCAAGACTCTTCCTCCCTATGTCATTTCCTCATTTCTTTGTAATAACAGTTCATTTTGGATAGCAATGTTGAACTGTGGGCTATTGCGGAATTGTGGATTTTCATGTTGTCTGAACATAGCTGTGCTACCAAGCTATGGCTTGGTAATATGAACAACCTATGCAGAAAAACCATGGCTTGCTGTTGGGTTGTTAACTGTGGGTTGGTCACCATAGTTTGCAATCTCAATTGGGTTCAGACAACATTATAAGCCATGCTTCAACTAGAACCCATACTCAACCTTGAAGTGTGGGTTATTGTACTGTCTGAGCCCCATATTAATTTATTGCATTTCTATATTGCCCAATGAGTGAAGCTCCTAATTATTGCCAACTATACTTATTTCTGAAATTGGTACATATTTTGGGGATGGGCAGTTTGTGCAAGAGATCTTCCTAATGGATTTCACTCTTTGAGTTTTACTCATTGTACCAATGAACTACATTTAGGGTGCAATTCTATGCATGTTCAGACATAAAAGACCTTCAATTTCAAACATGGTTACTGAACGCTTGGAACTGAAGGAGTTTTTTTATGTATAAATATTACTGCATGAACACCAGAGCAGGGAGTTGAGTTTGCACAATTAAAGTTTCACCCCTTATAGCCAATTCATTCACTCCCCTCTCAATGTATGTAGATTGCCATCCAATTAAACTCCATCCTCAGCTATCCAAGTCTAATTACT